AGCCAGGCTGATGTCCCAGCGCGGCCCAGCAGCAGCGCCAGCGCACGGCGCCTGGTCCTCGCGTGACTCGGTTCCGGGAGGTAATTTCAGCGCCGGAGGAGTTCAGATGTGGCGTTTCCAGAGGTGAGCTGTGTTTGATCAACTGTTGCACACGCGACGTCGGCGGCGGTGTCGGGCGTTCGCTGGGCGCGTGATAAACGCCGCCAGCAAAGTTCTCCCGGTGGAAGGTGATGCTGCCTGACTTTCAGTAAATAGGTACCAGTGCGTAAGTAAAACAAAACAAATCCCCCAAAGTTGGCTATTTCGCTTTCCCTGCAGACTTGAATCAAAAAGGATGTGAACGTGAAAACGAAGCCTGTTCTTCACCTCCCTACTTGAGGAACGTGAAAACGAAGCCTGTTCTTCACCTCCCTACTTATTTTAATACTGAAGGAAGGCAAAAAATACATAACCATCTCCCTCAAATTCTGGAGGATTTTGGTTATGGCTCTTTCTGTTCAGAGTCAACATTGCGTTTGAAATTATGTTACGTTGAATGCTGCTGATGGAGGCTCGAAGCAGCAGTCTGGAAGATGACCAGATATTTCTCTCTTGAAAGTGTGCTTTGGATCAGGTTTAAGCCTAAGCTTTTTGCCGGTTTATAAGTCTCTCTGAAGTTTGCTCTATTTGACTGCACGAATGAGCACCCTCTGTTTCATCCCGTGGCTGGATGGAGGAGAAGAGGACTGAGACCAAGCCCCACTCTCCTAAAGAGTGGCCTTTGACAGGGCGGGCGTCTGTCAAACAGCGAGCAGCAGACTAGTAGAAGGATGAAGAGGAACATGATAAAAAGCCTTGGTAGGGATTTAGCAACTGCATACAAAGTGGTATGCAAGGTGCTTTAGAAGTGTGTAATTAAGCACTTTTAAAACAAGATGCCAAGGTTGCCTCCTCTGTGCAATCAGGATGCCAACTTCCTCTCTTACAAAATCCATTCAACCGCGTGAAGCCTCATTTTTTCGAATTAAAGGCTTAAGAAAACTCAGCCAATCCAGCAATTTGGTTGTCTGAAACCATCATATAATGTAACAATGAAGAAAGACTTACGCGTTTCCTTCTCCAAGATCATTGTTAGAGCGCCTGCAAGCACAAGTATATTTTTGTCTTTCTGACCAAGCAAAGGGCAAATCTTTGCAGTGTGTCTACAGTTACCAGAAATAGTTTTTGTGGTATAGGCTTGATGTCCTGGTTCTTTTTGCAGGACCACTGAAGCTACATACCATGACTATATTTCTCTTAATCAATGGAAAAAAAGACTATCGTTAAAAACACTTTAATTTCTTAAAATTGTCTGAGAATAATGCAGAATTATGCTTAATTGAATCTAGAACATTCACAGTCAAGAGTTTTGAAAATAAAAAGCTAGGTGGTTGCTAATCTGCAGCCTAATATCAGAAGAAGCTGCTGAAATATTTCCCCTAGAATTAAAAAGAAATACAGAGGGGTGATTTGGCAAACATAAAACACTTTTAATACCATAGTACCACCGAGCTAACTATACTGCCGCAAAGGTGGTGTCAGTGTTTCCATTATACATCCAGTTTTTCAGAATTGTTAATGTAGCTGTAAAATCTGCTTCGGACTGAAACTTGGCAAGGCAGCGCTCTGCCCGAGAATGAACTTACTTTTAAACAGAAGTGAATCTGAATTCTCTAAGTTGGAGGGTTCTGCAGGCGCTTCCGGAGCGTTAGTTGCTGTAATGCCGTTAGGAATGCTGAGGGGCTTCTCGGGCAAAAGGAAACAGCTTGAGGGGGGTGTGAAATACTGATGATTTAATATACAGTGAGGTATCGTGCATTATCTGTCTAAGTAAATCATCCTTTGTGGTGAAGGGATTGTAAAGCTCGAGAAAACAAGCAAGTTAGTTGCCCAGGGAGACACAATACAGGAAGGGACTGAGCAGATTTTTCTGCAAAACTTTGCCAGTGTTGGCTCATCTCGGCTTAGGGTATTGTCTGCTCCTTTGCCGAGCTGATCTGAGAGTTAATTTTGTGCTACCCCGTGCCGAATCGCATGGTGACGTTGACACGAATGCACAGTGGGATTAGACCGACAAAGCCATGACCTGGCCAGTCCTCAGGAGGTGGGGAGCGCTGGGTCTCCTGCCTTGACAGGGACCACCCTCCGTCCTGGGGAGCTCGAGAATGGTTTGTCCCGGAGGCTTTTTGGTGTAGAGCTTCCAAAGAAAGCAGTGGGAATGGCGTGCATTACTATCTTCTGTGTCATTGAAAATAATCCTGGCAATTGATTTCTTCCTTGTTCCTGTCCTCGAACTCTCATCCCCCAACCAGTGCTTTGGACATGTAGTGTTTACCTTGTGCAATTTGAAATGCCTTAACCACGAGGTTCCTCAAATTTCTTTTGGGCTACTTGAAAATGGCATAGGTAAACGCAAGATAGTTTTCATGAATTTATAATTTCATTTTATTTTTGATTCATAAAGGACTTGAGGGTTTATCCACACAGCGTCGTTCCTTCATCTCAGAGTTGAACTTTGCAGGAAGTGCGCCTCAGCCATCCACTCACAGCACTGTGACATGAAAGCTTCAACTTTATTTTGTATTCACTTATCTCTCAAGCTTTCACTGAGCTGCTGTCCAGGCTTATCTGAAGTTGCTTTCTGTATGTCAGCTTTTTCTAATCCTTCATTCTCGCATATATTCACTCAGCACATCAGCTGTCCAAATCCATGCAAGTATATGTTTTATAAATCCAGACGGATTGTGGAAGGATATGAGTGCCTTATGTTTTTTCCTGTTTTTGGTGCAGGATTTCATAGCTGTAGATCATTTGGGATGGAGAGTAAATAAAACATTAAGCTACGATTATGTTTTCGTGGTATAGGTTTCAGAAACTATTGAATTATTCAATCATTTCAAGCAGTGATAGTGGGCGAGTGCAGCTAATGAACTAAGATTGGCGTTTCTGTGACCTGACAAGAGGTACGTGTTGACATAGATGTAGTCAGCTCTGAGTTTTCTTAGGACTTCAGTGCATCTTGGTGGCTAATGCTATGGACAGCTTTACAAGTAGACTGAATAAGCATTTGCACCCTTTTAGTAAACGTGGGTATTATGACATTACTTGTACAGTCCAGGGCAGCACTGGTGTGATCAGTGTCTTACACAGTCTTTATTCCGCGACCGTTCCTGTAGCCGATTCCTCCTCTTATTGCCCCGTGGTTCAGGATTTGTCACGTGAAGAGTTTTGCCTGTTCAGGGATCCTTCTCTGGGATCGGACAGGAGCATGCTGAAGACGCTGCGCTCCTCCCTCCCTACTGGAAAGGGGCATCCTGTACTGATGTGGAAGGGTATTTTGGAAACGTACCTTGTCGGGGTGCCACATGCAGTGTTGGTTACAAAAGCCTGGAAATAGCCCGCCTACGTTCCCTGGAGCCTGGGGGAGGCTTCCCAGTGACTTTAGAGTTTGGGTCAGGGTCAAACTAGCTAGAATCCGTAATCTCGTTCAAGAAAGTACTTGCGTATTATGTGTTGCCTTTATTGCGCTCAGCCCTGTTTTTTCAATCCTACTGCTGGCAAAAGCTGGGTTAGCCACCAGCATATTCTGGTTACAGGTTGAACACCAACAAAGTTACGTGAAACAAAGCTGTTCAACGCGTTGGTTCATTGCTAAGGTGCCACCGGCTTACTGTTAACCTCTAATGTCTTTCTCTCTCCCCCTCCTCCTTTTTTTAGAGGCCTTTGAGGCTTTGCTTCGCTTCGCTGAGAACCGCACGAGTTCCCTGTTTGAGACGGCTTACAGACCGATGGCAAAAGAAGCAGCAGAGCCGGTTAAAGAACTTTTTACAGACCTCTCCCTCTACATTCTGGGTGCAGAGACGACCGTGGAGAGCGCCGTATTACGGTTCTTCGACAGCCTCTTTCCTCTGGTATACAGTCGGCTCATAAACCCAGGAATTACAGATTTGTCAGAGGACTACACAGAGTGTCTGCGGCTTACCAGGCAGGACATAAATCCTTTTGGGCGCTATTCTAAAAACATGGTAACGGAGCTGTCGAAATCTCTGTGGGCCAGCAGGATGCTAAGCCAGGCCCTCAGCATGGGCATCGAAGTGATAAATACTACTGAACATGCCGCTCTGACGAAGGAGTGCAGCAAAGCGCTGGTGAAGATGCAGTACTGCCCGCACTGCCAGGGCCTGACGCTGATCAGACCCTGCGCGGGATATTGCCTGAATGTAATGAGGGGCTGTTTGGCCAGCGTGTCGGAGCTGGATGCGCAATGGAGGGAGTATATCTCCACCCTGGAATATCTGGCTAATGAAATGGCCGCGTCGCATGATCTGGAAATCGCGCTGACGGGAATCCGGAATTCGGTGAACGAAGCCATCCTGCACGCGCAGCTGAACGGGCCGCAGCTCTCTGCTACGGTAGGCGCTCTCCCGTCATTCTGTACTCCCCTTCCTGGCTTTCGTTATATGATGAGTAAACATCCGAACAACTTGGTGGGTTTTTGCATCGCTTGTTAGCCTTCAACTAGCTCTTTGTTAATAGTCCGTGAAAGCATTACAGATAATTATGATGGGGTTCGGTAGAGTCTGCTTTGAAATGAAAGAAGAAAAAAAAAAAAGTTTGTTGCTTGAGAGGCAGCCTCGTAAAGCAGATAGCTCTGGCTTGTTTGCAGGGTTTTCTGAACAAAAAAATTGGCATATGTTATCCTTGATACCAACAGCATATTTTTATGCTCTAAAACTTTTGCGTGTAGCAGTCTAGGAGCCGTGTTGCACTGGTCTGGGAGTGTTTGTACTAGATCGTGTGAGAGGGCATCCTACGGAGGGGGACGCAAAGAAATTCCCTTTTTCAGTAATTTTATAGTCACTTTATTTTTGCGCTGGCCATTGAGGTATCAGGAAGGAAATATGGGACTACAGTAAGTACAGTGGCACTAAAAAAGTGGAAAGAAAGTGAGGAAAAACATGAAAAATCTTAATTGTCAGGGCTTGTGTAAGCAAAGACTAAAAATGTAACTGATTCCATCTTTTTGTCAGCGGTAGGGTTTGGAGGACAGAAGTACAATGGTAGAATAGATAATGGCAACTTAGAGCTGACAGGTTCTCTCAGGGTGTTGAAAGTTAGACCAGAATTTGTTGACACGACTGACAATGCAGCTGGCTGCATCCTTATGAAGTTGAACAGAGCTGTCAGTGGGAAAAATGCGGCAGTTGGCCTGTCTCAAACAGGGCTGAGACTGATCTAGAAAAACACAAATTGATCTGGTTGCCTAGAAAGTGCAGGAATTCATGCAGAGAACAAACGAGAAGGAAACGAGAAGGAATTAGGTTAACTCCTGGGCTGAACTCTGGTCACTACGTTATGTTAGGAAAAAAGTACTGGAAAGACTCTAGAAGAAGAAGATATAACCAAAGGAGTTCTGGACTAAAGTAGTGTTTTGTCAGAAGAAAACGCCTGTATGTAACCTTCAAAGATACCTAACATCACAGCTCAGCTTCAGTTTATAGCAGCTGACAGCTGATATGTATGCAGATTGGGGAAAAAACATGTTTGGTGATCTGATAGAAAGGATTTTCATGAACTCGTTACCAGCTGAGGTCAGGTTGCCTCAGGTACTCCTTTCCTTTTCATCAGTGACGCTCGAACCTGCTAGTTTATTTGACGTCCAAGGAAAAACATGAAATAAGGGGAGAAGATTTGCCCGGTTTCATGGCGAGCGTGACTGTGATTTGGGAGGGATGTCGCACAGGAGGCCACGGAGCCTACGCGCAACGGAGAGCAACGGCTCTTGCTAAGGTCTCCTCGGTGGCGCTGCAGGCCAACGTGCGCCGTGAGGCGCTCTTACCTGCAACGCGTGGTGAACAAATATTCTTACGTCTGTTACCTCCCCTGAGATGTTAATTTTTGTAAGACACTGGAAGGGAAATGAAAATCAAAAAAAATACTGTTTTGCATATGAGTTTTCTGTAGTAGCGAAGACTGACAAAAGAAACAGACATTTCTCTGAAATCATCACAGCGCCCCAACACTGTTGACGCAGAAGCAATGAGGAGTACGCTTAAGCTCCCTGACTATTAGCAGCAGAAATCTGACAGATATTTCCTGCAGTATATGCAACGTGTTACAAAAGGCAAAGGCCTCATATTGCATCGCGTGGGTCAGTCTCATAATTAATATGCGCTTACTTAGCTTGCTTCTGTACAGTGCATAATCAGATAATTATAGATGAAATCAGTGAGTATCTTGCTTTTAACTGATTTGGAAGCAGAATTCTCTCTGAAATGTCTTTTGGGCTGAGGACGTTCTTTAATTGTTATTTAAACCATCTTTCTTCAGTCTCTTTTGGTTCCTTTGCATCAAATTTTAAACGTTTTCCTTCTCCCATTCGGAATGAATTCCACAAGACTGCTGTGTTTGAAACTACGTTAATCCCCCCC